GAATGCCGCGCCGCGCTCCCCCCGCCGCCCCTTACCAGGTGCCGCCCCAAGCATGTGCTTGGGTGCCTGGTGCCTGGAGCCGGCCCTGTCCATGATGTACAAAACAAGTCAAATGTGAAGGAAATTGGTTCAGTAATTCTGAAGCTATGAGCTGTTAATTTTAAAGTGGAGTGCCCCAGTGATAGAGACTTCCCAATGTTCTAATGCAGTGATCCACAAACTTTTTCCATTGTGCCCCCCCTTGCCTGTAATGGAACCTGTCTGTGCCTCCCCCTTGGTAGCCGCGGTCGGGAGCGGAGCTGAGGTTGGGAGCTGGGAGCCGAAGCCAGAGCTGCAGCTGGGTCCGCAGCTGGGAGCAGAGCCATGGCTGGGAGCAGGGCCACAGCTGGGGTCAGGAACAGGGCAGTGGCTGAAGCCCAAGCTGTGGCTGGGGGCGGGGGCAGGGCCAGAGCGGAGCTGGGGGCAGAGTGGGGCTGGGTGGTGCTCCCTCCCCACCCCCCTGAACATTTCTCCACGCCCCCTGGGGGGAGGATGTGCCCGACAGTTTGGGCACCACTGTTCTAATGCATGTTAGCTTTCAGATGACACAAAAATAATCCTATATATATATGTTAGGGAACACCTAGTTTGTAAATCCCGCCAAGGCTTAGGCATGTGTTAGGTGCTGAGTAGCTTGGTGTCACCAGGACTTAGGCAGCTTTGCACATGAGCAATAATATAGTAAAAATGAGAAAGTAAGCAATTTTCTGTAATAGCATGCTGTGACACTTGTATTTTTATGTCTGATTTTGTAAGCAAGTGGTTTTTAAGTGAGGTGAAACTTGGGGGTATGCAAGACAAATCAGACTCCAGAAAGAGGTACAGTAGTCTGAAAAGGTTGAGAGCCACGGGACTAGATGACCTCTCGAAGTCCCTTCCAGTCCTATGATTCTATGAACATTTTATTTTATAAACTGTCTTGCTTCAATCATCATAATAGCTAGACATGTGACAACAGATTGGACAAAAATTTTCAACAAAACTTTTTTTTTCCTCTGAAAAATGCAGATTTGGATCGACAAACATTTTTCGAATTCATGTTGAATTCATCAAATTGTTTTGAGTAAAAAACACTGAAAAAGCTAAATGCTTTGCATCAACATTTTTGAAACAAAATGTTTCACTTTTCTAATTTGAAATTATTTTTCCTTTCAAAAATTTGGTTCAATTGAAAAAAAACCCCTAAACTAAACATTTAATTTTGAGTCAAACGAAACATTTGTAGTAAACAAAGTCTGACATTTTCAGTTCCGCTGCTGAACCAGAAAAAAGCAAACAAAACAAAAATAGTTATTTGCATACCTCTAAATGATATATACAGATTGCCCACAGCACAAGCAGCCCCCTTCCTATTATAACTCAATCATTCATTCCTAATGACAACTTGTATTCAAATAAACAACTAAAATGCTTAAAAAAAACCCAATGTGTTTTGTACCCTGCTCTGAAACTGCAGAGATTAGTCATATTCTCCTACCAAAACCAAACTGCAAGGTGAATTACGTGTTGCAATATCGCTTATCAAAAAAAGCTTATTTCCACAAAGCTTTCAGATACATCAAGAGTCTTTTCTACTAAAGAGATAAAGAGAAAAAGTGGAAAAAAAACTTGATAGTGGTACTGAACATTTTAAAATCGCTAACTTAAAAAAAATAGACACAAACAAAAAAGAAAACAACATATGGGTACTGTTAGTTCAGGAACAGAAGTTTCTAAAACCAGAAACATTAATAAAAACATTTCCTGAAATTTCAGTTTCAGAGTATTAGGTGGCTGGAGGAGAAGGGAGAAGAAAGGAACTCAATTACACCTAATTTTTAATTTGTTGAGATGCAAACATTTATTTGCAATGTTCAATAATCAAACATTGCTATACTACCTAGCAGAGGAAAGCCAGATTGTAAACAAATTAGAAATAAAAACATGTAATTACTAGTATTATTTTTTGTCCAAGAGGACAGATATTCAGACAAACCAAAAGTGAACATTATATTAGCATTTACAAAATTCAGTTTAAATAAGGACATCGGATTTTAAAACAGTATTTTAAATCTGAAAGTGTCCCTTTAAAAGTATTAGTTTATTCAGTGCAGCATTTCAGAGAGGCTGGACCAGTTTCACAGCATTATAGCGGTAGCATATTGTAGAGACAGGACTTGATGCAATTTGACAGCAACCCTGCTGGTCTAGTGGGCAAAAACTGGAGCTGCAGTACCAGCTGCCTTTCCCCACTTCCAGCTTTCATTTCCCCTCTCCCTGCTGGACTATACAACCTCCCCTCCCCCGCGCCACCATTCCCACTGACCCGCTCCCTCCCGGGGCTGCACAACCGCCCCCCTTTCCCATTCACCCTCTCCCTGCTGGGGCAGAACCCCCCAGTCCCGTTCACTACACCAGACCCTCTGATACACTGCCCCGACCCCTCGCTCCCGGCAGGCGGGGGAGGGGATTCATGGGAACCTGCCCGCCGCCTGCCCCTCACACGATGGGCCTGGAGCTGGGATGCGCAGCCCGGCCCGGAGCGGGGCTCCCGGCCGCTCCCCATTCCGCCGCCCCGCACGCCCTGCCCCCACCCCAGGCGGGCAGGCCGTTTCCCTGTGGAAGGCTGCGGGCACTGCCCCACCCGAGCCCCGCGCACCCTTACCTGGGGTGGGAGGCCAGACGGGGGCTAGTGTGGCCGCAGCTCCTCCCCCATCCCTGCCGGCGCTGCGGGGAGAGCCCTTCGCTGCTTGCCACACAGGATGCTCCGGGGGCTGCTGCGACAAGCCACTCGCGGCGGGATCGGGTTTCGGCAGCCTCGGCCTTAAAGGGGCCGAGCCTCCGCCACCTGCGAGGGAAGCTGCTGCCCGTTAGTGCCAGGGCTGGGTGCACTGAGGTGGAGCTAGCGGCCTCCGCGCGCACACGGTGCCCTGTGGGGATGGGGTTTGGGGGAGGTAGGCGGATCAAGCGCCCCGTCTCCACCCCGTGGAGATGGGATTCAGGATTTGGGGGGGAGTTGGGGAGACTGCCTCCTCGCCCACCCGCAGAGCCCCAAGGTGCTAGGGTGTAAGGGGGCCCTTCCCCGTTGACTCCCAGTCTCCACCGATCTGAGATTTCGAGACCCTAGGCACGAAGTAACGAATGTCCGATGTTTGGTTCTAAGGGCTGCTACGATACGAGATACTAACTGGGGGTGTAGAGTGACTAGGTCAGCACAAGAGTTAAAGTTTGAGATTTTAAATACAAAGCAGTCAAAGACACCTGAAGTTATAGGTTCCACAGCAAACACAATTTAGTATCTTCAGTATATATGTATATTATATTACATGTATATTACATATACATATATACACACACACATACACACACAGAGGGGATATTCTAAAGAAACTCAGCCTTGATTTTCTGAAGTCTCAATTGTACCATTGCACTAAAATAAATGCAAAAGCTATCTAAAGAGACAAATATCAAAATAAATGTAATCTACAAGAAATATGTAATAGAGCAAAAATATGCACAGCTCAAAATATGTGCCTATCCAGATCTCAACTCCTGCATTTGGTTAAATAATTACTGTACCTAGGAATACAGGAATTGACATAGTGGATCAGACCAGCACTCCATATAGTTCAGTATCATGTCTTTGTCACTAATACCAGAGAGAAACACTACAATAGGCACTTATAAAATAATCTGCCCAAAAGTTTCTTCCTTAACCCACATCAGTGTAGAAATAAATGCACCATGCCAAATTCCATCTATGGCTATGTTGATATGGAAATAATTCTGACTAAAAGACCCGGATCTACACATAGATTTTTTATAGTTTAGGGGCAGAAGGCAACATTATATCATTTAGTCTGACATACATTGTGTGTGAGTTACCAACAGAATTTGGCCCACTATACTTTTCAACATGCAGTTTATATAGTTAAATATTCCTATTGTCTAGAAGAAATCATTTGCTGATTTTATTGTCTGAGGTCTAAATGTACATTCATGCACTCCTCAATACAGTGTGCAAAATACCATAAAACATAAAGAGCCATCTCATCCAAAGGAACAGGGGCATTGACAATATTACGCTTGGACTTTCTCCACAAGGATCACAGGAATAGAAGTTGCATTTTAGGGCCAATCCTGCAGTACTTACTCAGATAAAGTTATAACTGAAGTCAAACAGAATGCTGAATGAGTAAATATATAGGTCCCAACCCTGCAGTTTTACAGTAGAACCTCAGAGTTACGAACACCTCAGGAATGGAGGTTGTTTGTGACTCTGAAATGTTCATAAATCTGAACAAAATGTTATGGTTGTTCTTTCAAAAGTTTACAACTGAACATTGACTTAATGCAGCTTTGAAACTGTACTATGCAGAGGGAAAATGATGCTTCCGCTTTATTTATTTATTTTTAGTAGTTTATATGTAGCATAGTACTGTATTGTATTTGCTTTTTTTTTGGTCTCTACTGCTGCCTGATTGTGTGCTTCCAGTTCCAAATGAGGTGTGTGGTTGACTGGTCGGTTAGTAACTCTGGTGTTGGAAACAAGGCTGGCTCCAGGCACCAGCTTAACAAGCAGGTGCTTGGGGCGGCCAAGGGAGAGGGGCAGCACGTGCGGCAATTCGGGGGCGGCAGGTCCCACACTCCCTCTAGGAGCGAAGGACCTGCAGCCGAACTGCCGCCGCCGATCGCGGCTTTCTCCCCCCCCCCCCCCACTTCCCCGCTGGCGATCGCGGCTTGTTGGTTTTTTTTTTGCTTGTGGCGGCAGAAATGCTGGAGCCAGCCCTGGTTGGAAACTCTAAGCTTCTACTGTAAGGGCTGGTCTACACTGGGGGGTGGTCGATGTAAGATACTCAACTTCAGCTATGGGAATAGCGTAGCTGAAGTCGACGTATCTTATTTCGACTTACCTCCCGTCCTCACGGTGCGAGATCGATGGCCGCAGCTCCCCCGTCAACTCCGCTACCGCCGCTCACCCTGGTGGAGTTCCAGAGTCGATGGGAGCGCGTTCTGGGATCGATATATCGCGTCTAGACGAGACACAATATATCGATCCCCGATAGATCGATTACTACCCCCCGATTCGGGTAGTTAATTAATAATAATTAACATAATTCCTCTGCTCAAATCAGAGCAGAGGAAAAGCAATGGAAACAATTGCAAGCACATAGGTTTGTTTTGTGTGAAGTATGGAAATTCCATTTCACTAAGGATTTTGAGATTTTTTAAATTTGGCTTCATTTCAAATTGGAACAAAATACTCAAAAATTTTGAAATTCTCCACAAAGGAAATTTTAAAAAATTGTTCCATATCAGTTGAAATATTTCATTTTGACTTTTTAATGTTATAATATAATATATAATACAAAATAAAATATTCAAAACAAAAAGTTGGTTAAAAATGAAAAATCAGAATGTTTTGTTCCAAAAGTATTCCAATTAGTTTAGAAATCCAAAGGAAGATGTAAATATTCATAAAGAAATATTTTGTAATAAAAAGATGTAAATAATGGATTGGTACATACTAAATAGAGCTGGTCAGAAAAACTCAATTGAAAATGCAGTTCTGTCAAAATGGAAACGCTTCACAAAACCATATTGATTTTGCAGAAATTTCATTTAAGAGAAAAAACTGTGGAGGAAAGGTCCGACAATGTCCCATTTCAACAGTTGGAATGAAGCATTTTGATTTTTCATTTTGAAATTATTTTCCATTTTTTTATTTTGTATTATATTTAAAATTTTAAAAGTCCAAATCCAAACAAAACCATTTTGCCAAAATTAAACATTCTGATCTGAACAACCTTTTTAAAAATTTTCTTTCATGGAGAATTATGAATTTTTCAGGTTTTGTTCCTATTCAAAATGAAGCTAAAATTCAAAATCCTTTGTGAAATGGAATTTCCATTGTCTGCACAGTCCTAATACTATGAATATATTTTGTAATAAAAACAGAATTTAATCACTCCCTTTAAACACACACACACACACAAAACATTCAGGGTATCCCACCCTAAACAGACATTTAGATCGTGCCAAATTCATCAATAGCCATTGCCTTTAATAAAGTAATTTGCAGGATCCTGTAGCCTCATTCTGACCCTTGTCATAAATGCTGGTATTCACAATCGTGATGATTAATGGTCCCAAAATACTTATCCTGGAATTGGCTAATGTGTGTGATAAGATACAGGGTGTCTGAGCTACTGGAAGATGCCATCTTGCTGCTTCCACAGATCTCATTATGTCTGTTTTTGTGCCCTTATCGTATACACTGCATAATTAAGTCTCAAACAACAAATTCTAAGATCACTTTTTAAGTTGTTACTCTTTATTAAGGGATCTGTATGTAACATCTTGTTCTTTCCTCCCTCCATATTCCCTACTCTTATATTGCTTTGTGTGCTCTTCCCTCAAACTGTGTGACATAGGTAAATCAAAAACCTCACACTCCACTTTCCCTATTCTGCCTCTTTATACAGAACCATTAGTCTCAAGACAGAAAACAAGCTATTTTCCTCTTTTACAGGCCCATCTTTACAGGCATTAAAGAGGCAAAACAACCATTGAAGTCTGTATGAGTTTTACCTGAGTAAGAACTGCATGGTGGAATCATGAAGGACTTCCAGGAAGAAACACACTACGTAAGAAGTGCTAAGATAATTTTTTCTTCACTATTCCAACAGAGAGCAGCCCATCTACATTACTCAGCAGAAGACCACCAAACGCTCAACATTTCCTTCACCATACTCCTGCCCCTCCTCAAAGCTGTGAAGGCTGCCTTCTTTCTAGATAAAGAACTGGTCTTCAGAATTATGGAAGGCTTTGAAGTGACAGTTAAGACTGTAACTGTCATTGTCAGAGCTGAAAGCTATTCGGGTTGTCTGTGGGCCCTACGTCACTAGGGAGAAGGCTTTCTAGGTCAGGATTCTACCTCCTGGAAGTTGTAGACTGTCAGGATAGCCATAGTCCTGTCATTCAGGAGTTACAGACCTAAGTAGTATACTGCTCGACAGTTGATGTACAGCATTAAATAATACGAAACAGTAGACGAGAGACCTGAGACATTGTTGAAATCAGAGGGGTTATGATTAAGTCCTAATGCAGAGGGCCTTGGGGTGGAAAATGTGCATATACCACGGGGGCAACCTACCACCCTTTTGACAAACCCCACACCCTTTGAACTCCATAAAAACACGCTTTACACAGTTATTTTCAACTGACATTTTATTTTACAACACGGCCTGTTCCTCAGTAGGTTGCCCCCGTAGTATACGCGCAGTTAGATTACCGTTTGTCTTTTAAAGTGTTTATCCCTTTACAAGACTTAATATAACTTTTACTTGCATTTGTTAAAAAGTTTGAAAAAGAAGCAGCCTTCTTATCTCTGATCCACTGGCTCACAGAGGCTGTTTTTGCTAACAACGGCTTTGCTAAAAAAGCATGCTGTTTCAAATTGTGCTTACTAAAAAATAACCCATGTCAGGCTAGGTCTACACTACCCGCCTGAATTGGCGGGTAGAAATCGATCTCTCGGGGATCGAATTATCGCGTCTCGTCGGGACGCTCTTACTCCACCAGCGGAGGTGGGAGTAAGCGCCGTCGACGGGGAGCCGCCGTCGATTTTGCCGCCGTCCTCACAGCGGGGTAAGTCGGCTCTGATACGTCGAATTCAGCTACGCTATTCGCGTAGCTGAATATGCGTATCTTAAATCGACCCCCCCCCTGTAGTGAAGACCTGCCCTCAG